AAAAGCAAAATAAAAGTAAATAAAAATAATGCTTGGACTTGGTTCCTTACAAAGCCATGTAGATTAAAAGATGCTGCAAAACTGGATGAGATCGCAATATAAAAGTACACACTGAAATTCTACAATCTAACAATGGCTCTTATAGTTGAAAACATTTGTTCTTATAATAAATTGGTTCCTTTAACTGGATTACAGATATTAGTGGGTGCTTTTATTTTATTATCTGTTAGTAAAAACAACAATAAGCTTGTAGTTTATAGAGACCACTATGGGCTGTGGGAAAATTTCCAGCTCTTTCTTCTCATTGGCCCTGTTCACTGTTATTCTACCAGCATTGCTAATAAATCAATCAGTTGTGCTCTCAGCACAGGTAGCCTTCAGTTTACGCCAGCAAAACAGCAAATCGCTGTGCAATTTGCTGTTTTGCTGTGTAATTCCCTGATTTTCCTATGCTAGATTTGAGCAGATTTTGTCCAGATTTGACCAATCGTGGCTCATTGGGATTGGTCAGATCTAGACCAATAGAGAACGTTCCACAAATCGTTAGATTTGAATGAGCTGTGGACCCGACACAGAGCTACAGAAGAACGACGAAGAAGAAACTCCAAGAGTTATGAAAAAGACCGATCTAAAGCATATCCTTTCAACTATGACAGATGAACTTTGTGAGTTAGATAATGATTGGGAGCGAAGTGCAAATGTAAAAAGGAGCATCATCGCATCCATTCAACCATATTCCAAAGCAAACAAAAATGTAAACAATTAAAGATGGATACTTTTTTCTGAAAAATGTAAGAGATCCGAAACTAAAATTTTTTAATAAAAACATTTCACTTTATTTTATGATAAAATACATTTAAAAAATTAAATTTACATGTATTTTGTATTATATTGTATTAATAAACAAAATTATATGCTTATTTTTCACTTATGTAGAACCCAACCCTATACCTCACTGTAAATATGGGTTTATTTTATGGCAATTCAATTTGCGCTGGCTTTTGTAGAAATGGAACTGCGGCGTAAACTGAGGGCTACCTGTATAGTGATTTTTGAAACACTGTGCATAGCATAGAATTTTGATAACACAGTTTCTTCTAACACTTAAAGAAGTACAGAAAATTTCTTGCAACATGTTATTTCTGAGCTTTTGTGTAGGAAAAACTTGCTATTATGTTTGTAATTTTTTGACATTTACATTTCTCCCCACTGTTGATCTAATATCTGTTAGAAAACAAAAGAAATATTGGAAAGTGCCATCACTACTTTTTTGACTACTTTGACTACTTTGAGAGATCCCTGTGTTTAGTTTCATAGTACTGAATTTGTGCTTGTTTGAGAAAATTAAATTGTGACTTATAAGATTTTATTAAATTTATTTTGACTTTATTTATTTGGTTATTAATTTTTCTGGATATGTATCGCTAAACTTTTCTTAAGAATCATACTAGAATAAATTCTTTATGAATTAAATTCCAGTCCTAAATTATGCCTTAAAGGAAGTAAAAAATTATGATTAAAAGAGAATTTATTTCCTTAGAATCAGATACAAATTTTGGATTGTCTTCAAAGGGAAAAAACATGCCAAAAGTTTAAATTTAAAAGAAGCAACAATCATTTAAAAGATCATTTAAAAGAAAAAAACAGAAACATAGACCTGCTGTTACTGTAGGATCTTCCGTTTTGCAAATTTGCTGGGCTGGACCTATAAATTCCCATTGTTGTCCATTCATCTGTAATTCCTTAATCTCAAGAACAGAAAGATAGATAGATAAAAGATGAGACCAGATATGGAAATCTTAGGGGCAGGAGGCCCCAATTAATCATATATGAACTTTCAACGCAAACCAGAAGTCCTATTATTTCAATTTAAAAATTTTCTCACGAAAAATGTTAGAAAGATGACCAGCACGACTCTATTGTTAAAGGAAAAGTATGTTGTACATGGACAAAACACTACTAATTTGAGGTGAAGAGCATATATTTTAAAGTAAATATGATTAAAAATTACAGCCTGACATTGTGATGTCACAATAAATAATTGCTTGTTAGCTGTTGGATTGCCTTCTCTCATTTATATTTAGTTCTGTATAACATGGTTTCACATTATGCAACATTTTGTAGGAATCTAAATACCATGTTATAATAGGTTGCCTGTATTAGAATTCAGGTTGAATCTTTGAATGAATTAAGTTTTATCAATTTCAGAAGTGCTTGATGAATCTTTGAAATAATTTAATTTAAAATAATTATCCCACAGAGCAATATATTTGTGTCATATAAATATAAGGCATTATGCAAAATTGGGTCAGTACAAGATTTGTGTAAATTAAGTCTCTTCTTGTGGTGCATGACAGTAATTCTTTAGTCTTTTTAATCATCCTACATTATTAAAACATAGGTTATTTTGTCTTTCTCTGTTTGTGCTAATTAGAATTTTTGCCATAATATGTTGATTTAGCTGGAATTGCAAATTAGTTATGACAACAGAGCTAGAACTATATTTATTTACCAAAGGTATTTATATATTCATAACTACCAATGATTTTAGCTTCACTATAATAAAATTGCATATATGCATACATACTTATATTACAATTATTTTTTAGATGAGTAAAAATTTCAGTTTGAAATAAAAAAAACTATTTTATACATATATTCATAGCTTGCATTATTTTTTTAATATAATTATTACTGAAAGTTATTTATACTGTTTTAAAAATAATAATATGAATACATTTTGAAAGCATGTTTTTTAAAATTTTTGTATTTTAAATTATATTTGCATGTTAAATATTTAATATGAAAATCAGTGGCACATGTTAGTTAAAGTAAAGTAGACCAATTAAACCATCTTAAGAGTTGATTTAATTTTATTTATGTAATAATTCTGTAGTTTGTAGTGTGCTTGTTATTATTGAAGTCATTTATTATATTATTTATTTTAAAAGTATTCCAGTTTTTTAAAATGAATATTATTATTTAATTAGAATAAATTTATAATAAATTAATTAGAATATAAGATACAAAAATGATAGAGTTAAAACATCTCTTAGTAGATTGGAATGATATAATAAACACTTCAATCAAAAGCCTTAAATTATATTCCAGTAAGATTTAATTTGAAAAAAGTTTTTTGACACACATCATAAATGACATAAAATGATTTTATTAACATAAGTTGGTTTATTCAAATTACAGTAGTTTAAATTAAATACTACATCTTATGCATACAGTTTTCCAGCAAATAATATGGAACATTTTTGGTCTCTTTTAGTGTTGAACTTTACAGAACGTTAGATTCTATTTTAGAATGTTTTTTAAAATTGTTTTATTTTTGACTTCAACTTGTTTTTGTATATTTAACATGTTACATTTTACAAATACTCTACATATTATTATTATACAATAAAAATTAAACAAATAAAATTGTTATGACAAAAAGATACATGCATGTAGTACAGAAATAGAATCTCTAATGTTCTGTAAAGTCCAACGCTTAATGCAGGTCCCTAGAAGAGGACAAAAATGTTCTGTTTTGTATTTAATTCAAATACATATTATTTGCTGGAGGATTGTATGCATGATATGTGGTGTTTAATTTATCTATATTCCAGCTGGTACAGACTTTTATGTTACAGTAGTTTAAAAAAACTTGATAATCAGCATAAATAATTGGAAGAATAATCAACATAATCATCTGGAATAAAAGAATGTGCCAGGCCAGTTCTTTTCTTCCAGGTGATTCTAAAATTATTAAAAATTATAATTATTAATTTAGATAAGAGATGGTGCCTAACATCTACCTCTAGTAACAAATTACTAAGTATTTAATCATTAAATAGTGGATTTATGAGCTATAAATCCATTATTTAATGTGCTCGATTATTTAAGGCAATTATTTGGTTATGTATTTATAAATAACTATTAGAAATAGTAACAATATGTTAATAAATTAATTCATATAAAGGCTTGTTCAGACATATCCAGTAATTTAGTGAAGAGGTTAGTAGTCACTTACACTACTAAATTGTTTAGTGTATAAAAAGTGTTTCGATTTGTACAGTTGAACATGCAGTAAGCTTTGAGATGGACAGATGTAGATGTATTTATGTAGCATTGAATAAAGTGGGAGATCCAAGGGGAGAGCTTAGGGGCATAAGCCCCAAGATAAAAAATTAAAATTTATTTGTTTGAATTTCAAACCATTGTTTAAAAAATTTAGTGGAAAATGTGGTTTATTGAATGTTCTGCAATACAATTGTCATGCACGTTAATAAAAGATCCTTATTAATTATTTAAATATTATTTATTTTTGAGTTTGATCCTCTTTGGGTATTTCTGGATCTGCTGCTGACTGAACAATGCTATAGGGAATATTGAACTAATGAACTTTACTAAAAACAATACTATTGATGTTTGAACATGTTTCATAGATTAGTGATAGTAGAAAGTACTACTAGTCAACCAGGAAAAATAGAATTGAATGGATTTACTAAATTAAATTGTTTCACTAAACTCTGGCCAAATTTCACTGTTTGCACACAGTAAATTACAAAATTATTGCCACTCAATTAAATTACTGAATAATCTCAACAAGCCTTAATTCACAATATGAAACTTAACATTTTTAATAAAAAATTATATTATATTGTCAGGTTTGTAAATTAATTTATTAATATTTGTGTTCAGTTCATTCTCAATGAAAAGAAAAGCTGATTTAATTTTCAAAATAAAATCACTTTCTGGAAGCTAAAATTTATTCGTGTACAAGAATATTTTAATCTATTTTAGGCTAACATTAGTTTATAGATACAAATGTTCAAAAAATACAGAGCTTGGAAATTGCAGGCCTGTTTGTGCTGATTATCAACATTTGCTTTTAGTCATTATAAAATGATTTTATTAATTTACTTTATTTAATAAAAGATCATGACAATTTAAGTATTAATATTTATCACAAATAAAATAAATATTAAATTTTAATTATTTATTTTTAGCACCAGTCAGCAGAATTATTAGAATTAACTTTAAATACAAATGTGATTCAAGTTACAAATGTTGCTCCTGCAGCAACATTGGATCAAATGCAGACATTATTCAGTTTTCTGGGAGAAGTAGATGAAATAAAGATGTATCCTGCTGAGTATGTGAATTTTTTTTCTTTTTAAATACGATTATTTTTTTAAATATAAGATTATATTACTAAAATAAGGAAATCATTTGTTGTTTGTGCATTTAGAAGTGTTCACTAGACTTATGTAAATCAAAGCATTATCTNTCCTACGAGCCTTCAAATATTTGGTAAACTAATGGCTTAGATACTATTTTTGCATTGTCAGTATAGAATAATCTTCATTTTTCTAACCTATTTGTTTTAGCAAGTTTTTTGAAGATTTTGAAAGCTGGAAGTACAGTACACCACTCTTTCATATTCAACCTATCATTGAAATTAAGAAAATATTTAGCCAAGCTGTATCTAGACACTCTTACATCTTCTCATGGTCTCATGACTGCCTTTCCTTTCTTGATACAGTATAAGCTTTATCAGCTAGAAAAAACTCTAATTTTTAAACATTTAAATCCTTTTGAATACAAAGATCGTTTTGTATTACAGCATATAAATAAATTATTTTGAACTAAAGTTATAAATAAATTTATTAATAATATAATATATGGTGTTGTAAAAGTTAACCCAATGTTTTAATGTATAAACGATGTTCGATAAGGAAAATTGTTTCCTTTAGATTGCCTAAAGCTAAATACATAATTACACATAAAAAATTATCGTTATGCTTTGTGGCATTGTAAATAATACTTCCACGATTGTGGAACCGGAATATAGTCGGAATTAATGCAACTTCCCTTTATGCTTGCTATATAAATTTCAAAAGCCTCCAATGAATGTAAGTTGTGTTGGTCAAAAGCCCTGTGTAAAAGAGTAGCTTCATCCCAACAAGGAGAAACCCCGGGTTCGGTAGCATACTGGGCTAGTGCAGTATTATACTTTCCCTTGGACACATCATATTTGTGGTCCTGTATTCTAGCTTCTAGTGATCCGTACATGGATCTGATGTATGTTATACATCTATTGAAACATTCTTCTTGCAATGGAATGCAGTACACTCCTGGTGCTTTCTTATCATATTTGTCTTTCACATTAGATAAGAGCCGAAAATGTTCCGTTTTCTCTTATAAGTTAAGTGCAAGTTTAAATCCTTATCAATTCTATTATAAATTTGTTGAGGGACGGTTTGTAAGATTTAACAACCCGATTGTGTTCTGCATCATTAACCCTCATGTTGGTGGTAGTTATCGTAGATAGCTGGTTGGCAGCGAGCCTGTTTATTAAGGACTGGTGGTATCTGTGTGCAGACACTTTTCAGTTCGTTGTAGATATCAGAAGTTTTCGAGCAATGGGAGTAAGCCCTTGAGACTAGGCCCAGAATGTCACTATCTTAAAAGGCCAAGGGTCTACTGAGTTAGCAGGAATGAAAAGAGGAATGTATGTGGGTTTGCGGTAAATAGATGTGGTTATATTTTTATTTGCCATATGCATCTTGACATCTTATCATCATTCATTTTGTTAGAGAATTTTTTCCATTTTCATTCATGCTAATTGAACCATGATGAATCTGTTCTGTCTGGAATTGATCAGAATCAGGCCCATTGTATATTACTATAGTCACCACACCATGGTGTGGGGAGTGTGGGATGCCATAAGTTACAATACACACTGCTGTGTATGAAATAACAGTAATTCAAAAATACCATTAAATACCATTCAAATAATTCCACTAAATCAAGGAGAGACTATTCTGAAAAGCATTAAGTCAAAAATAAAAATAAGTAAATGAATAGGCTATATGCAAGGTTATACAGTGTGTAACATTGCAAATTGTATCAGCACTTCCAAACCTAAAATCTAGTGAGTAAAATAAAAACATTTATTGAAGAACAAATGTTTTCAACCTTTACGAAGGCCATCTTCAGGTTCTACTGGTAGAATGCAAATTGAACATCAATTTGCATTCTGGGAGTCTTCAAGTCTGTGGAGGACTTACATCTGTTGCAGCATCTTGTTGGACAGAATCATCAGAAATGTGAACTATTTCCTCCTCAACAAATGATAATGTGTGTCACATTATTGTCTATTGGTCTCTCTCCTAGCATTGTTCTACAATGTCATCATTTATTTCCTACAGTTTAGAATGGGTGTTTGTTTCCTGCAATGTTTCCTTTTCTAGAAAGATCACATCCCTACTTTTTTTTTTAAATACTCTTTCTGCCCTGTGGGCACTAGGAGGGCCTCTTATAGCAGGTCCATCATTATGGGTTTGGCCAGGCCCACAATGGGGCAACTGGATGGTGAGGGATGGGGCCCGACACATCCAAATGGACTACCCCTGAAAAATTCCTGGGGATTCCTTGACCTGTCCGGATTCGATCCTGGGTCCCCAGAGTGGTAGGCTGCCACCTTGACTGCTCGGCTGTCTGGCTGTTTGCATTCCTACTTATGTACAGTACATTTCATTACTATTAGCTGCCATAATTGATATACTTTAGATTCTGCACAATGTCCAATTAGAATTCATTTTTTACTTCATATCTCAAACTTGTTTTTATTTGACTTATTATTCATTTCAAAGGCAATATTACATATAATTTTGAGGTGGCTGGGATAGGTTTTTTGCTAGTCCATATTTTGTAAAATGTTTTATTTCCACAGTGTGATGCAGGGCATCTGTTCCTTATGTATGCTGCTGTAAAAACAAGTTCAACCCACAGATCTGATAATTTTCCATCTACTATTGATAGAAAACAATGGTTTGATTAGTATGTTCTACTACTACATTTTGTTGTGAACACTTCACTGTCATCTCTTGCTGAATCCTACGAGCCTTCAAATATTTGGTAAACTAATGGCTTAGATACTATTTTTGCATTGTCAGTATAGAATAATCTTCATTTTTCTAACCTATTTGTTTTAGCAAGTTTTTTGAAGATTTTGAAAGCTGGAAGTACAGTACACCACTCTTTCATATTCAACCTATCATTGAAATTAAGAAAATATTTAGCCAAGCTGTATCTAGACACTCTTACATCTTCTCATGGTCTCATGACTGCCTTTCCTTTCTTGATACAGTATAAGCTTTATCAGCTAGAAAAAACTGTTTCATATGAATGAGCAACTGTTGTTGAAATGGAGAGGATCTTTCCTTGGAGATTGGACACAAATAATACATTGAACAGCTTAATACCATGTGAGCCATGCATGATGTTTACAGCCAAGGATATGTTGCCTCATTGATTTTCAAGAATTATCCTTTTCTGGCTAGTTGAACTTGTTCTGATTTGATCCTATAGAGGATGTAAGATATTTCTGTTATCATAAATCTATACCTAATTGCCCATGTGTTATTAAATGAGGCAGTGCTGTTTTGAATGTAACTTTTATTAGAAAATTACTCATGGACAATTAAATGAGCAATGAACAATTACAAGGAAGTTTTATCCATTTCAATTGCTTTCATCACACGACAGCAAAACAGATACTTGATCATATTAGATGTTTTTCACTAAGTATTCCGTCTAGTAGCAGATGAGATTAGAATTACCAACAATCTCTAATTATTTTGAAATTTCAATTGTATATTATTACTATTTTTAATTTCATTGTGATAGTTTCTCCAAGAATAAGCATATAAAAATGAAATTTTTTTCAACTAGCTCAAAAAATTTTTTTTATTACAAGCCACCATAACATTTTTGGACAAAATGTTTTCTATTGGCTGATGTTCAATGTTTGTCCATAAGTGTGATTTTGACACCTGTAAATGGGTCATTGCTAGCAGCTGTCTATATGAATCTAGTATTAATGGTACTGTGGTACTAAAAGAAAAACATTTTATTTAATTGCCTGTCAGTGTTTAAATGAGCAATGGGTAATAAAGTGAGGATTTATAGTATACATACTATAGGATTGAACCGAAAGTTTATTTGGTTTTTAGAGAGAAATAAAATACTCTATTTTGGAATAAATAAAAACCTTTAATCTTCAATGTATTCACCCTTCTGTTTGATAACCTTACACCATCTGATCACTAGTTTCATAATTCCATCTCTGTAGAATTGGTTGTGTTTCTGATTGAAGAAATTATCAATGTGATTTTTGATACCTTCTAAAGATTGAATTCTATTCCATTTAAATTATTCTGCAATGAACAAAAAAGATGATAGTGAGGAATCAATATCTAGAGAATATGCAGGGTGACTCAAAGCATCCCAGTTAAAGTCTAGAAGATTTTGATGCATTTTTTAAATTCAAACACAAATTATTTATTGTATTTATATAGACACTTGGCAAATCACAAAATTAAATTTTATTCAGTTGATACATGTTTCAGTCATTTCTTGCCCCTCTTCAGCCAACTTGCAGCATTGCCCGAAATGTGCATAAATGAAAAGAACACGTATCAACTGAATAAAATTTAATTCTGTGATTTGCCAAGCGTTTGTATAAATACAATAAATAATTTGTGTTTGAATTAAAAAGATTACTGGCATGGTTTCAAAAATACCAAAATTTTGATGCATGTTCAATGATATGTGTGGCCTTGCATTATCACAATGGAATACCACTCCTGTCAATCTGCAAGTTCCAGACATTTTTGATGCTCAGCATTTTTGCAGAGCATCAAAAATGTCTGGAACTTGCAGATTGACAGGAGTGGTATTCCATTCAGTTTATCCAGTTAGAGCCAATATTTATTTGGATTAATTGTTTGGTTGTTGGGTAAAAGCTTGTAATAAAAAAAAACCACTTTGCAATCCCATCAAACTGAAATTATTACTTTTTGGGATGTAAACCAGCTTTAGGTTGCAGCACTGGTGGATCACCTGGCTTACTCCAAGGTCTTGTGTTGAATGTTGTTGTAAATAATCCATTTTTCATCACCTGTTATTAATTGCTTTAAAAGTGAATCACAAACAGAAACATTTGCAATAAGGTTTCGTTCTCTTAACCTTAGGAAACATCATAACAGAAAGTGTATCCAAAACTAGCCAAATGTCTGACAACAGATGCTTGGGATATTTTTAAGGTGTTAGCTATCTCTCATGTTGTTCTAAGCCAATTATTTTGCA